CCGGGCTTGCGCGAAAGGGCTTCCCGCCCGCAGCCCTGGTGTTGCCCCGGTGGGGTGTCCGCGGGGGAACACGCGCCGCTTCCCCCCGAAATCGCGCCCCGCGGCTGCGGTGCGGGAGGGGAGGCGCAGCCGGGGGCTTCGCCCAGGAGGAGGGATTTTCCCCTGGGCATCGCCCGAGGGGGGACTCCAGCCACCGCACGGGTCCTGCAGGAGGACAGTGAGCAAAGCCCACGCGTGGCGGCTGCTGTGGGCAGGTGCTCGTGGGTTGGGTCTGCGATGGAGGGGCACAAGGGTAGCGCAGGTGTTAACGCTTCCCGACAGCGAGGGTTGGGAAGTCTGCTGGGCAAACGCTTGGCCGTCAGGGAACGTGCCAACTTGTCAAAGCAAAAGCCACTCGCAAGGAGGTAGCTTTTCTTCTGAAAAAAAAAGTTCAGAGGGAGGGTTTGAAACAGCTTAGACATCTTTTCAACGTTACTGGAACATGAAAGTGCTGTTTTTCACTTTGGGGGTGGTATTTATTTGTTATCTTCACTTGAGGCAATTCCCCTGCTCCTCTCCAAGTCTCCAAAATTCTTACAGGATGAGGAAATTGCTTTCCACCCAGCCTTTTAAAACTTCCTTCTGCTGGGGATACTAATGTGGTCCTGACAGAGCTGCTGAAAGCTCTCTTTTAAGTCAGCTTGCTGACTGAGGGCCTCAGTGGCTCATCTACACGTGCACCAGGTCTCCCCCATCCGTGCTGGGATCCACCAGCATCCCCTTAGTGAGGCGTCCACCCTTCTCCAATCTGCTTGTGCTTTCCCCCCAGACATTTCCTCCCTGCACATCAAGACCAAGTATCTCTTCTCCCAGGGTCTAGTGACGCTGCTGAGCTCTGCTGTAGCCCCACCGTGTGCACAGCCACGCTGTGCCTCCACTGTGATGCTCCAAAACTGGGAGTGGGGGAGGAGGCAGAGACACTGGTGTCAAGTCAGGAAGGACTTTGCCCCAGACATGCCACTTCAGATCCATAGGAGAACCAGAGCCTAAGAGCACTAAGGCCTCGATGACCTTGACTCACCTACCCTGGGGGCCCCGACTACACACCCTGCCCGTGGGACAAGAGCTCCACTTCAACTCAGACTCGGCCTTCAGTCCCTGCCCAGCTACGTCGCAGGTGTTCCGCTCTCCAGCCCCATCTCCTGGGTGAACCTTGGACCTGTGTTTCCAGTTCTGTTCCTGGCACCATCTCCCGCTGCTCCTGCCTGGACTCCCCTGGGGTGGACCTCGTACCTGGTTCATCACCTCGCCTTGCCTGGGTGTGTCAGTGGACCCCACCCACAAGTGCCTGCTCTGCCCACCCTGCTCGGGCGCTGGAGGACTCTCCCCAGGCTGGTGAGGGCCACCGCCTTGGCTTCGGCCACCCCCAGCTGGTCTTTACCCCCGCTCTGCTGCTCCCTGAGGCTGTGACAGAATCGCTGCCCAGAACACTGGCAGCAGCAGGACTCCAGCGAGAAGAAAACCGTCAGGCAAAAGCCAGAAACAGAGGCATTTGTGTGGATAGGGAAGGAGTAAGCATGTCTTTCTTGGTGAGGAAGCTAGAAAGAGCTTATTTTTGTGTCCCTGTCTCCTGGCTGACCTAGCAGCAGAGGGGCAGAGCTAGCAGTGCTTAGCCAACACCGAGTACTGAAAATGGCTAATGCAAGCAGCTTTGTGGATGTATTGCTTTGTATGGGCTTTTCCAGTTGTACTGCTGGGCAAGCAAATGGCAGTGACTGGTACCTTCTCCGCAGCTGGGCAGAGGGCTGTCTAGGCAGAGAAGGCGCCTCCAGGCTGAAGTTAGTGCAGCTTCTCTTCTTTCCCTTGTGAAGCAAGTGCTGAGAGGGAAAGTAGACTGAGGAGAAAATGAGGTCCTGGGTGGGGAGAGAGAAAAAGGTGGGGAGGTTCACTTGGCTCTGGAGTCATTGTCAGAGAAATTCTGGATCTGACGTGGTGATACTTGACAGAGATGACACTAAAGGCCGGTCCCTTTGTCAGTCTTCTGGCAAGACCTGTTGGTCGGTTATAGATGATGGTTTTACCTGCTGATCTAATGCAGAGTTGGAAGGTGAGCCTATGGAACGGAAAAGTGCAGAAACTGCTTGAAATAAACTTTGCAACGACAAGATTGATTTAGTTAGATTGCTGTCTAATACTTGCCGATACACTTGCAAGCCAAGTTTCGGTGAGTGAAACAGAGTTGTTCTACACATCCTTAATGCAGCTGTGTGTTATGGCAACGTGGTCTTTTTGTTGTTTTCTTTTTCTCTCCCCCCCCCCCCCTTCCCCCCCCTTTTCTCGCTGAAGAGAGCCTGGAAACCCGCCGGGGCTGACAGACCCAACCTCCTGCCCGTATGACAACCGCGCTGTGCACGCCCGAAGCCCTGCCTGCCGGGTGGGGCGAGCATCCCCGGCCAGGGCCCCGGGCATCGCCCGGGCGGAAGAGCCCTCTGAGGGGTCTCCCTCGCCGCAGCCACGGCCGCAGCGCGGGAACAGCCCCCGCCGGCCTCTGCAGCCCTTGGGACGAAGTGGGCCCCGGGTGGGACCCCTCTGCCGCGGCCCGCGGGGGCGCTGGTCTCCGCGGAGCAGGCCGGCCGTCCCTCGCCT